AGTTTATTATGCAATGAGGTCAGATATGCTCTATAGAACAGGGTGTTCAATGTTGCTTCATCGACCACAACAGTGTTTTATAAGCAGGGTATTCTCCTACTTTTTTTATTTACTATATATTTCTATTATAATAAATGTACCGACGAGAACGAAACTAAAAAGCCGAATTACAGAACACTTCCCAGGCCATACATCTCACTTTTGAAAATTGTAGAAACCCATATAAAAGTAATACGGTAAAACTTTTACAGATGGTATCTAAAGGAAAAAGAATGGATTTTCTTGAGAAATAAGAAATAGGAAAAAAAAAAAAAAAAACGAAAATAACGTATCATGCCTGAATATGCAAAATATTCTATTTTAGTACTGTGACTTCAATTCGTAGCTAACGAGAACAAGACTTAGGAGACAGTTGTAGTCCATCTGGACAATAGTTTTATTTTTATTTTTAGTCCCCAACTGACAAGATGAGATGGGGACCATCATAAGTTAGGTGATTACTTGTTTTTTATTTAATAATGTTTTCAATTTGGTATTTAATTGTTAGGTTTTTGTATTAATTTTCATTATTGTTATAAATTGTTTTCTAATTTTTTTTTTTAAGTGAAACATCTTTAGGCGCGTTTTGTACTTTTTTGTGGGGATTGAATTAGATTGATTCGTCAGATTTTCGAAGTTTAAGGCTCTGGTAAAGTCTGCTAGAGCCTTGAAATGTTTTTACATATGGATTAAAATATCTCAAAATAAAAATCGGGCTTGCATACTGTAAGCGAGGAGACTGTTTAGCATTTGTAATGAGCTATTATTCAAAATTGCATCTTACCGCGACGCCGTGTTAGAGAGGCGAATAGGAAAAAACAGTGGTGAAAACCAAATAAAGAGATATAAAGTGGCACTTCAGGTTAGCCGTTTTTAAGGAAAAAGTTGCTGTGACATCTGAGGCATATACCAATCTTACATACATAATATCAGTTTCCTACGACTTTTCATTTTTGAGCTAGAGAGTTCACATACACACGGACCATTTTTCGGGACTTGGTTATTTGGACTGAGGGTACCTCAAAACGTGTATTTCCGTTGAAAACTCAGATTCGAAATTTTTCTCGAAAATCTGTTGGAAAACTTCAGAACAACGATCGTTCGAATTTTCATAGAAACTACTTCTGTAATAAATTAATGTTTTTATTAATTTATATTAATAATCATATTTATAAAACCTGAAAATAAAGTAAGATAATGATCACTTTTCTTGTGAACTCCTATTTCGTCTACACAACTATACGAGTAAAAAAGTAAATCAGTAGAGCAAGAAAACTTTGTAATTTATTTTTTTTTATAAAGAATTGCAAAGCCATTAAGTCAATGAATAGAAAAAAGGATAAAAATAAAGATGCTTTTGTGAATGAGTTTGAACTCAAGTAAGGGGTATCAAGAAATGTAGATGTTTCGTAAAATTTAGTAATAAAAATACTTTCATAAAATTTATTAATAAAAATTCGTCTTACATACAGATACAAAAGTAATTATATTTTACTGAAATATGTGATCACCGTTTTTAATGTCACTTTAGTGATTGATACAAGGTTGAAAATATAATATTATGTTTCCGAGGATTCTCCTTAACGCGCATCAGGAGCCCAGAAAAAAAAAAGTATACAATTAAATATGTTATATTAGTAAAGAAAAAGATAAACAACGCCATAGTAGCTAACCTAATTATTGAATCAAGGATCCAAGGTAGGTCATATTCAACATGTACAGAAATGATTAGAGAAATCATAACCCAAAAATAATTGCTTTTGGTAGTTAATAATTTTATTTTCTGAGATATATCAGGGGTTCTGTATTATTCCTAATAGTTCTTCCACAGGTTTTATGGGTTTTAATTTCTCTGTTTTCCATGAGTAGATCCTCTGGAATCAATGAAAGAAATATGAGGAAAAGAAAGAAGATAGAATAGAATAACTCTTGAAGAAAAAAGTCGAAATAATTGCCATTAGTTTAATTTATTAAACAGAATATAAAGTAAGAATTATATTATTTTATATATATATATATATCTTCTGAGATAGATCATAGTTATATTTAAATGGATTTGTACCAGAATAAATAAAACAAATTATTATTATTTATTGAATGACCGGTTAGTTTTGCAAGAATTTTAATAACAATAATCAACCCTACAGTCTTCTTTCCACCTCATCTAAATAAAACTACAAATTACAATTCATTGTTGGTATTTTTTAAAAACAGGTGATTTTGTTTTCATATTTAATTGGGTTTAACCCCTTCACATTTTCCAAATAGGACAGGAAAGGTGGATGGCTCGAGAAAGATATAAAAGATTTATTTCTCCAAGAAATATAAGTTAAACTTCTCAGGCGTGCATTGAACCCGCACCGCTTTCAGGTCTGGCGGGCCACACGGTACTAACTACTCCCACCAGCAAGGGCAGTTATAAACTATTGGATATTTATGAATAGGGACCGGATCTTCATTCAGTAAAAATAAGAAAACCTCCAGTAAAGAAATCAAAATTTGCAAAATCATGTAAAGAAAACTCAAAATATTTAAAATTCTGTCATTAACACCTTAAGCGCCAGTTGCTCCAACTGAGTAAAGCTTAATAAATCAAAGAGTAAGCGTTATCTAAGATTAAATCAAGTTTAATCTTGATCGGTCGACCTTAGAAAACTTGGTTTAATCTTAGATAACGCTTAATCCAAGCATTATTGAGTTGGAGCAACTGGCCCTGAGACACAAAAATCACCTATTTTGTTTAATTTATTATATTAATACATCAAAATCTGATCAAACCTAGTATTAAGCTTCTGAATAATATGGAATGAGAAAAAAAAAGTTAAAATATAACTTTCGAAATTCCCAAGAATTTTTAGGAAACTTTAGAAAAATACTGTAATATTTGAGATTTTCAAGCGTTCAAATATTAGTGTTGATATTTTTTTTTTTAATCACTAAACAAAATATTTTAAAAAGCCATTCAATTCTTTTATTGTTTTTTTTTTTTACCTGTTCTACAATGAGCTTTTGTTTGATATTCGGATTGTAATTTTGAGGAGAATACTTTCGCTATTAATCAAACAGCTTATTCTAGGAAGACAGCTTTTTACTAGTATCCATTATTCTGGGCAAGTTCTATTTCAAAATAATATCTAATTGTGTCTACTTCTTCTTTTTGAAATCTCAAGTTCGAACCGTCACAGAATTATTTATCTTCCTTATATATTTCTATTATATTATAAAATTCTTGAGGACAAAATAAAAACATAAATATTTACACACATACGCATATTAATAAATCATCTAATATTATAAAATTCTTGAGGACAAAATAAAAACATAAATATTTACACACATACGTATATTAATATTAATAAATCATCTAATCTAGCACATAATGGGCAATATGATGCAACAAAAATTAAACTCCAGTAATTAAGGACAAAAACAGCAAAACGTGCAATATCAAATTTTAATATGATATTCGTCGTAAACCAACGACTTCCTGTCCTACAGTTTCCTTTAACAATACTCCACTTATCCCTGTTCAGCAAATCTGATACCTAGCAATTGCATCCCAAATGCTTCAATCACACATCATAAATCCAAAAGAATGGTGTCAAAACTGGAGAATTAAAATAAACTCCAATAAATCCCACCAAATTACCTTTACCCTTCGTCGTAAACCAACGACTTCCTGTCCTACAGTTTCCTTTAACAATACTCCACTTATCCCTGTTGAGCAAATCCGATACCTAGGACTCCACCTGGACAAACGACTAACTTGGAATCCTCATACTAGACTGAAACGACAAGAAACCGCTCGACGTTTCCGATTACTTCAGCACTTACTAGACAAACGCTCTAAACTTCCCATTAATTACAAAAGACTCATATACTTGACTATAATAAGACCTATTTGGACTTACGGAGTTGAGCTATGGGGCTCCACCAAACCATCGAATTCCTTTCGCATCCAATCCTTACAATCCAAAATCCTTCGTAAAATCCTCAATGCTCCTTACTTTGTCACTAATAAAATTATCCATAAAGATCTTTACGTTCCTTATGTTTCAGATCTGGCCCAATCCAGATACATATCCTATCATTAGAGTGCTACCATTGGGTAGTTACTCAGCAAGTTTATTCATGTCATTATATCTATTATGTCCAAATTTACTTGATGTATTTATGTAATACAGTTGTAAATGTCATTAAAAAATAATAAAAAAAAATTATTAAGAAATAATAAAAAAAAAAATAAAATAATATGATATTCTACAGATCGTGAAACAGATAGATAATCGGGTTAAAGTTCGTGTAAAGTTTTTACACGCAAGCTAATAAAATGTGCAATAACATGGAAATCCGGTCTCTATTTATAACATTGAAAAAAAATCTGGCAAGCAGGGTCAGTATAGCTACATCTCCGTTTCTATTGGTCATATAAACGCCTATATTTGAAGGTATATGATTTGTTGTTTAAGAATAAAATCTACCGGAGAACCTTCCATATGCCTTTTATGTCTAAGCAAAGTCGTCACAATCTTTACTTATTCATAGATATAACAAATATTGACAGGTATCTTCACCCCATCGTACTATAATGAGTAACAAGATTCCATCAGGATCATAAATATATTTGGCTATATATTTTGGCTATATGGAGAGGTTATTTCATTGGTTAACTGTTATTTCCTTTTCTAGTAATTCCATGTAGTTGTGGGATGTGTGGTAGCTGCCACTTAGGAGGAACCTTGAATGAGCTAACCACTAACAGACAATTGGTTCCGCCAGATAACAATAGCATTCGTAAAGCATACGGTTGATTTAAAGTCGACTTCGCAACTGACTCTTACCAACGTTTTGTTTCCCTTATGCAGTTCGAAAAGTACCACTTAACAAAACGGGATCTTCCAGCCGTGGAGGAGTACAGAGCCGTAAGCAGTAAATGTAGGTTGTCCGCTGACGCGCTTGTTAGCAATTGTTCCTAGATAAACGCGACGAAATCCGACTCTCACGATATAAGGGGTGTTCCGTAAGTAAACAGAAATATTTTAAGAGCTAATAGTAGGTCTCAAGATTATATATAAACCATCGTTCGATTTTCTGCAGAAAATCAGGATATTTAAATTTTATTTTCATTGCACCGATATTTTATTTCTTTTATATTATCTTCACAACGTTTCGGCCAACACAAGGGCCATTTTTAAATCTAGATTAGAGTCCCTCCATAGATGACGAAGGGGAAATCCTAAAATATTAGCACATTTTAATTCTTCTTAGATTAAGGAGAATTATATTGAATATGGATATTTAGGATAGCCGAAACGTTGTCTAGAACATATTTTTTTTTTAAATATTGGAGGAATATGGGCTTAATTTATAAAAATGAAAACCTCAGAACACCAAAATTAGGAATAATGAACAGAATAAAAATATTTAATTTAGATAATTAATAATACTTCAAAGTAAACAAGATAAAATTTCCTGCAATGACAAAATAGATTTTGTCTTTGTTAAAACCATTTAATGGTTATTAAAACCATTTTTAAGCTGCTAAACTACACTAAGTAATGATTTCCATAAAAGCATGATTACTTATTAAATCAAGATTTTTTTATTTTATTTTTTTAATAATAGTCCTCCAACTGAACTACAGATACCCCAATTATAGAAAAATACTCTCCATATTAATTAAGAAAAGCTATGTTGCGGAATATATTTAAATTTACCTCCAGTTAAATAAAACAATGGTGTGATTTGATACCAGAGTATCTGTGTTTTCAGCAAAAATAACCGCAATAAGTTATTACAAACCATTAACTTCCTTTATTTGTCTGTGATAGTGGTGTATTATTAGATTGATAGATTAATTACGAAAATACACTTCTTATTCATAAACAATATTTTACCTCTACGTATAGTTCTTAAGTATTTCCGTTTATTTAAGAGCCATCATGTATATTATATAAAACTATGTATTGTACTAAACTGAAATAGCCCAAAATAGGCAGAGATGGAGCAGGCTTGTTAAGGCGGCTAAAGATCTACATGGTCAGTAACGACAAAAAAAAAAAAATTGTACTAAATTATTTGTCTGAAATAACTGTCAATTTAAAATCTAAATCGAAAAAAAAAAAAACTTCTCGAAGAATATATAACAACTGGAAATAGGCCCCATTGCTATTCAGTATATTTTACCCACGCGTTATAAATGTGTCTGACTAATATAAACAAAAATTTATATTTTATGAAATTTATATCAATTAATATTTTCAAACACCGACATATGAATTATTTTTCGTTCGGATTTCGATTTTGCCAAAATGGTGATTAGCAACTAAAACCCTACTTATGGATTCGAAGTGGTTTCCGATAATTTGGTCGAAGTTATTGGTCAAGATGCTTGTCATAAGCAGTGTTTATAATATTATTTGTCACCAATAATGATCTCACGATATATTGTTTTAAAGCATCATAAAGTTCATTAATATTGCTGGCCGCTGGGTTCTTTCGGGTTAAATTTAAATTTGTAAAAGAAATCTTCAAACTAAAGTACTGAAAGGTTTACTTAATAAACAGTTTTGTCTGAAAATAATTAATTAAAGTTGAAACCTATATTTAACGATGATAATTCATCAAAAGCAAAAATATAATAATACAGCTGATTAAACTAAGAAAAACCTGAATCTATATATTATTTTCCCGACTAATTATGGGCTAGTAATTGACAGGTTGTTTATTAAATAGTCCGCAATAGGAAGATGGAATAAACACAAATAATTAAAAGCAAAAAGAAAAAAATAACTGTTTTATGAAAACAAGTTTATAATCTCGTCTACAATATTTGTATTGCAATATAACACGTCGAAATTGTTACTAACATTAAATTTAATCTGAATCAGAAGATACACTGCATTCCACAGGATCAAGGGACAGCGTTACTACACACGGTTCAAGGTGCGTCCGTAACAGACAGTTGATCGCTGCCCACCCTAAGGAGTATTCAATATCGATGTGCACAACTAATTTATTAATTCATTTTACCTATAGATCAGTAAATTCGTCATGGATAATACTTGATCAAAAGTTGTAAAGTATTTTAAACCAAGTATTTTGTATAATTAACCCTTTAGATTTCGCGAGATAGATTATCAAGCAGGGTGGATTGGAAAAAGATATGATTATTATTTAACCTAGTTAATTGGTAAACGATTGCATCTTCTTTTTTTTAAATTTCGATTACCCCTTAACTCGCCATTTTGACATACGGGAAAGAAAGAGGTCGTTACATCCAACATATTCCAACCAGAGTGGGATGATCGAGATTCATTCTATTGGTTGGTTCCTTTCGTCATAACATAGAGTGCGGGCAGCCCTGAGGGAGTGCGTAAGTATTTGCAGTGGTGCGAGAAACGTACCTCTTTCAGAAAAGAGCCTAGTTTTAAAAAAACCGGACTGGTAATGCCGACGACGCGGTTGAGAGAGAAGCGCTGGGATCTCTTAGAGTCCCGCTTTGTCCTTCACACGTGGGGGAAAGGGCTGGGACTCGGAGATCTCTTGCTTGATTGTAAATATTTTATTTAAGTATGAATGTTTTTCTATTTATTTTTATTACTTATAATTTATTTAATTTTGCTACGAGTTTCTGTATATTATTTAATTTTAACTCTAAGTTACATTTTCTTGGTTTATTATAGATTTTTCCTTTGTTATATAGATGTATATCTATTTTTTTTTATGTAATGTATATATGGTATGAATGTGCCTCACTCAGCCTTAGTACTCAGTGCCCTTAAGTGTGGCAAAATGTATTATTTCTCAATAAAAAAAAAAGTTAAAAAAAAAATTTATGAATAAACTACTTTATCAGTAAAATTTTAATATTGCTATTAATATTTTTTTAAATAAAAATGTGCACACATTTCTTAATGTGTGCAAGAGTTTATTTTCAGATTCAAAGGGATCCTGACCACGAAAAAGGTTAAGGAAGGTTGATCAATACATTTTTCATAATTTCAGGTTTTAGATATAAGAGGAAAGAATGAAACGACGCTAAAAACAACGTGAAACTGAATAAATATATTCTATTTAACAAAATGAACAAGTCTAACTTAAGATTAGTGGAATGATATATATATATATATATATATATATATATATATATATATATATATATATATATATATATATATATACAACTTTTCTTTAATCGACCTTTGAGTATTAAATTTAAACATAACCATTTAATTGGAAATAAGGTCACTTATTAATTATTCAATAAACTACTAAATGTTCATTTCCTCTGTGTTTATTGACGTTTCGATCCCGGTATTTTTCTTTTTATAAGTTAACAAAGGGATCCTCTTCAAAGTTTTAAAAATAGAGCTTCGATATCTCAGGCCAGGGACACACCGACAGTCTCAGCACCGTCCACCGGCACATATATTAAGCTACTCTACTGCTACAGTTGGTTAAACTTAAAACTAAAACTTTGAAGAGGATCCCATTGTTAACTTATAAAAAGAAAAATACCGGGATCGAAACGTTAGTAAACAGAGGAATGAACATTTAGTAGTTTATTGAATAATTAATAAGTGACCTTATGCCCAATTAAATGGTTATGTTTATATATATATTTTTTATTTATTTATATTGACATTTATATATTTCATACCCTCAGGATTTTCAATTCATATGATTTATCGGTTTCATAAATAAGATATGTAGAAGTATAATTTTGTAATTTGATTAGAAATTTATCAAACCTCACACAAAGGATGTTACAAAATTCATAATCTGATTGAATTGCATTTGCCCGTAACCAAGCTATCTTGATCTAAAGGCACACACACACTGAGTGCGTATTACCAATAAATATTAGATAAGGAGTAATTTCATAATTTAACACATAGACGGTTTCTTTCTTCTTTTGTTCCAATTATGTTCATATGATAAATTATTTTTTGCAGCTGAAATACTGAAGACAAATAAATCAAATCTGAAATTATAAACTGAGGAATTCAACCTACTCAGCACCAATCCCTGAAAGACATATATAAGATAGCGTACAAAACGGTAAGCAATGAAAAACTCGTAATTCCATCAATCTATTTAAACCACGAAACTTCAGTCTCGAAGCTTTATCTACGAAGTGAGATTTTGAAGAAAATAGAAATTTGTAATCCATAAATAGGTACAGTAAATTACAAGGTTTACATTACGTACCGTCGATATGCATTTTGATCTTCGAAAATTAGAGAATGAATCTAAGAAGCTGACTACCTAAACAACCGATTTGAAGATATATGTTATCTTTTAAATGACATTCTGCTGGCTGGGTATAATGGTATTAAAAAAACAAATATGCATAACGGTGTATATATTAGCGAAGGATGCATTAATTATTATGTGATTTTGGATTATATATTTTACTACAATATTAATTATTTTTGTTCGTTTGTTCATTTAATTGTTAAAGAATACTAGATTAAAATACAAAGAGTGGCAAATAATAAACAGTGTAAATACCTGTTCATGAACGTAATGAAGCCAGCGCTAATAAAGAACCTCCATTACAACACAAAGGCGAGTACATTTCAGGCTAAGGCATTAAGTCATGTAACGGAAACATGAAGAGCACTTTGTTCACTTATTAAGTGCAACTAAACAATATATATAGCAAATTTAGTTCAGGATATAAAAACGAATATTTTAAAGATTACGTATGTTTGTCACTAAATATTTTTACAATAATAGTTTCTTAATTATACAAATTAAAGTTTGCCATTGATAGCGTTTCAATTTAACAATCCTTCATTTTTAGAACAGGTAATATAATTTATTAAATCGTAAATAGATAACAGCGAGAAAAAGAGAAAAGTGTTATCACGTCCGAAACTATGCAGAAAATATAGAAAGTAAAGCTATGATGTGAGGTCACAGCGTGAATTAATAATCATTTTTCAGATGGGATGAAATCTATTTGCCAGGAGTAATGTATAGTAGAAGGCACCCGACTACTACACCATGTTT